CTTTTTCCACACAACCATTTTCATGATTCACCGCAAAGATACAGTAAGTTGTTAAAAAGATAGGATCATTCTACAAAACTCTAGAGAAAAGGTAAGGAAAGAACAGAAGAAAGGCAAGTAAAATATGTAGGCTTTCCCAACTAACTAAAAATAGTGTTTAGAATAAGCAAGAAAATCAACAACTAAACAAAGTAATACAATTCAAAGGAACAACATTTGTTTTGTCTTTTTTAATCCCACTTTATTAGGTCTCTAAAAGTTACTCCAACAATGGAATGTAACACGAATCATATTGCACATTTCTGGCAATGATTCGTTGACAAACATTTTCAAGTTTGCTTTGACGGCATGGTCTCGAGCCATTGGTACTTTAAAAAAGTACAAGCACAAGATTCAGTACATTCTGCAAAAACGAGCTGACAGACAGACTAACCTGTCTCATTGACACAACTGCCGTTAGAAAGGTACAAGTGTACTAATAAAGGTTCATAAAGTAATAGAATTTAATCAACTGTACTGGCTAATATCCTTCTTGATCTTGTCCCTAACTAGTAATGGAAGCAAAAATCTTTTACGCTTCATCTTTATGTTTATCTATCGAGTTCTCAGATTGCTCAGATTCCAGGATTTGCTATTAAACCAAGCCAGAAAATTTCACAGCAAGAGAACTATAAATCACATTACAAGTTTGTTTTTTTAATGTCAGCTCAATTATGGTACCCAATATTTAAAACTATTCAACTCAAGTTCATATCATTAATAACTTTTTATCTGATTCATGACATTCCTTCCAACGGAAATGTCAGTTGCAATCGATGTTACACACACTTTTAACAAACTCAAACAGCCAAACTCACTGAACCCATTCACTCGTACATTACCTTTTCTCACCACTAAAATCACTGTACCATTCAACGTCAAACTCTTTCAAGTATAAAACTCAATAAAATATTTCCATCACACATACATAACCTAGATGCAAGTATTCATAAGACATGAGCACTCCTGTCATGTACTAAAAAAGCCACTCACTGCCAACAGTTGCAGTCTCTCAAATGGTTTAACTTTGAAACACAAGACGTAGACTTAAGAAGTAAAAACAATTCCATTTCCATTATTCAATCAGCATTTTGAAAAAACTATACTCCATCAATTAAGAGGAGAAATTCTTTTTGCAGAGGAAAAACAGGACACTAATTCGCTCACTCACGGCAAAGGTAACATCTAGTAAAGGCAACAAAAGAAACTGCTACGTCACTACACTTTCACAATCGCTCTCTTATTCGTTTCCGTTTTATGAGGGAGGGAACCAATAAACTTGTCCTTTTTCCTTTTGTTTTTGTATAAATGTAGGCCTTTTGTTTTTGTATAAATGTAGGTTCTTTTACAACCCCTAATCAACACAATCATTTATCAGGAGGTGGGTTTTCAATGCTGTCTGACGACAGGGCCAACCCAGGCTCAGAGGGATACAACATACCAGCAGAAAGACTGAGATACTTGATAAAGATTCTCCCCACTCACAGATTGAACTCATGTCTCCTGCATGCGACAGTGAAGTGTTTAACCACTAAACCACAGATATCAATTCCAACTTCTCCTAACATCACGGTCTTACCAAGTACACAGTAAGGCTGCATTAGTTCACATCATACATTCATAATCAGTTCAAGGAAGGTAGAAAGGTAGAGTAGCTCCTATAAAAGTCTACCCTCCCACCCCAACTGACACACACACACATAATATACATACTTAAAACAATGCAGCCTCGAAATATTATTAAAAGATTAAGAAGCAGTTTGGCAAGAGAAAAGGGGGCTTAGGAGAGTGGAAAAAACTACATGTTTTTGCTAAAGCGGGAGACCAGTGATGCTGGCCGGAAAACGGGGAATTGAAAGTACTGAGGGAGCAGTGCACATGTTGAACGGGCCAGGAGAAGGTGAGTGGGAGAAATAATGAGACTTGTGAAAATCATAGAATAAATAAAAAGGCAAAGGATAGAAAATGAAACCCTGTCTCATTTTTTTTTTTCAACCAAAGAACAGACATCTGTTTTTCAAAAGGACAAAACAAATTTCACCTGGCTAATAAACTGACTTCTCTTCAAAAATGTGAACAGTGAAGAAGCAACAACAAAGTGGTTTAATCTGATCATGATTTCTGAAAAATATCTAACTTGCACATTATGTTCAAAAGAACAATAGTCTTTAGAGTTTCAGAGGGAAAATTGGCTTCACTGCACATTATGAATCTGGAAGAGGGGAAGTGAGGGGGGACCTTTGTAGTGTTTTCATACGAAGATGATGCAGCCTGACCCCTAGAAAAATAGCAAAAATGAGAAGAAAAAGGAATTTTCATCAATCTAATACAAAAGGCAAAGACAGCAGCACATGACTGCTGATAAGGAAGGCCATAATAGCATCATATACAAAAAGAGACACCTAACAGTTATCCTAGGAGGAAAGGGGAAAGGAGGGAGAGAGAGAGAGACAGACAGAGAGAGAGAGAGAAAGAGAGAGAGAGAGAGAGAGAGGGGGGGGGGGGCGGATAGAGAGGATGAGGTAATAATCATGCTGTAAAGTACAGTCCCATAAAAAGCACCTCCCACCACACAAAGGTCTTTCAAAGAGGCAGTATATGTAAAGTTGGACACAGTGAAGTAGGAGAGCCATGAAGACCTTTAGAGACCAAAGTCCAGGAATTCCCTGCGTGGGCTTCAAACCACTGTGTCACACACAGCAGCCCAACAAGCTTCATACTGATCTAACAGAGGAGTAAACCAAGAGACGACAGATGGGTCTAGATACAAAAAAAAACCCATAGGTTTCTTTTTCTAAAATTGTACAAACATTGGTATTAATTAATTAATCACTACCAGCAAAATGCAAACTCTCATTCAAGACACTACCAATGTAATCCAAACAGGAGGAACAAGACAAATTTTTTTTTACCCATACAGGTACTGTAGATCAACAAGAACACCTTTCCTCGAATAATAGATATACACGAGTTACTAGGGAAAAGAACAGTGAGAGAAAAGAGGAAAAATACAGTTTCAATAAAATAATGTTCAGATCAACAAGCAAGAACACCATGACAAATACATGTATGATCCTGAGAAAAATCACCAAAAAAAATGGATGGATACTAACAAAAACTATGATTCACAAAGGAAAACAATATAAATCAAAGTTCTCTTCCAATCTCATTCTCGAGCAGCCACAGCATCTTAAATCAGAGATCAGTGGGCACTTTCTTTGACAATACACAGCATTAGTTTGGTTGTAGAAGTACATGTACCAGTAGCCTACATACTGAATACTGCTCAAAGGCTGTTTGTTATACAGTGAACCTAGCACCTAACAAAATCCGGTTCAATGAAATATAAGACTCAAAAAAATAAAAGAGGATTTATAGCATTCACCTAAAACAATTTTAAATTGACATATTTTCCTCAACACCACTCTTTAACGTTCACCTAAAAAACTCGATTCAAGAGAGGGGGCCAGTATTTTTGAGACTCCCATGGAGTATGTGGAGACGTCTAGACGGATGAAATCGACAAGCTTACACTGAAATGTCAGGGCAGGGCAGTGTCACCATCTCAAAATGAGCAATTTGTTGGCAAAGCTACTTAAGTCAGTTATTTTAGTGATCCTGTGTATGCATTCAAAGAGCGGTTTTTTAATAAAGGCCCCAAAGAGAAAACTTTCTTATTACAGAGTCAAGATTTTTTAAATATATTTTTGTTGGTCACAGGCCTGCAGAAAAGCCATGCAAAGTTTCGTGGGCATAGGAAAATTCCTCAATAAGCTAGAATTTTGTTTTACGCAGTCAGACGAAAGTGAACAAGCTATGACAAGACAGTTTGTCCGACAAGTAACAGTAACAATAAGTTGTGTCTTTGTGATTTTTTTTTCCTCCTTAAAAAATTCAGATTTAAGAAGTCTTGAAGCCCATCAAAAGAGGTTAGCAAAACAGAAAGAGACAACACGACAAGAGTGAGCGCGGAGGTCACACCCCCTCCCTCCATTCTTTCAGTCAGTGACCAGTGAGGTTGAGAGCTCAGCAGCACATCCGGACTGTCAAGTGGGTAAAACTAACTTTAGAGTGAACAGCATCAAATGTCTCCTCACGCTACCTCCAGTACCAGTGAGAGGCCCAAATTCCGTATTGGTTAGTGAGGTGAGGTGAGCTGTACTGTAAAGGAGGGAACTTAAAAATACTCCAAAAAATTAACTAAAACAGACAAGAGAGCATGCTGTTAAAAGGAAATTGTGGCTGGTTTCTATAATAATAGCCAGTCCAGTTCTCAGCTTTAGCAGTCCCAACTCGTGTGCATTCACAATGGCACCATAGGAAACAAGACAGTTTTCAAAGATAAAAAATAAACAGCACATGATTGGGGAAGTTGAAAGAGGGCACAAAAATTTTTTTAAATTCTTGTAGAGAAAACAATAAAGGAACCTGGTGCCAACAGGGCTGGTCTTTCCAGCATGCCAGCACATTCCATATCATTTTAGCTTTAACTTTCTTCATGTTCACGTGAGAAGGGAGGAGAGAGAGAGAGAGAGAGAGAGAGAGAGAGAGAGAGAGAGAGAGAGAGAGAGAGAGAGAGAGAGAGAGAGAGAGAGAGAGAGAGAGAGAGAGAGAGAGAGAGAAAGAGAGAGAGAGAGAGAGAGAGAGAGAGAGAGAGAGAATGAGAGGAAACGAGGGGGGGGGGGGGGGCAATTTCTTCGCACTGGAGAGCATTTCATTTCACTCACACAAGTGAAAAAATAAATTCAGGTTGTAGGGAAGGGAAAAGTTCGTGCTCTTACACATATATCTAGATAATAAACACTCAATAAATGAAATAAATGCATTTATAAATCTACCCATTGCTGTTACAGGCAGAGCACACGATAAACCAGACCAGAACATTCAGTTCTGATTTCAAGATATATTATGGAGAACATATTGTGAACAATTTCAGACCACATTTTGGCCAACATTTTAAATTTTTTTTAGACAAGTGCAAAAGTTTTTGCCCTCTCTCTATAGATTAGGATATAACTTAGAACAATATTACAGTGTCATGTAATTCCAAGTCATAAGCAACAAAAGGAAGTGCCTTCATTTCAGATGAATTCTTGATTTCCGTCACAATGACCATGGCAAGATGGGCTAGCTTTAACCGGAAATTGTCCTAAAATTTCAATTTTGGAGGAAAAAGAAAATGTCAACAAAAAAAGAAAGGCAACTTATCTTCACATGTGGGTCCAGTCATGAAACTGATCTTCCTTTTTTAAGAATGTTCTCAAAATTCACATCCCTGCGGTCTTGACCAACTTTAACCGCACAGCTGGAGCGAAAGCCCACCCACACTAAGGGGTCACTCCCCTTTACTCACAGACCCATGGGAGCACGGAGTAGTCCCTACATGTCACAGATAAAAGAAACATTTCAGAAATACCTCCCATCTTTGCCATATATGAAAACACCATTATTCCACAATGGGGTAAACCTTTAAAATTGAATGCACAGACTATCTTGTAGGTTATACATGATATAACTTCATTGCTGTGCGCATGAGCGACAGGCTGAGTTCAGCACCAAAAAAATTTGTAATCAGATCTTTCTAAAAGAACCAAAAATGAAAGAGAAGAACTGTTCTTCTGTTGGTGACCAAAAGCTTTAACACATTATGTGTCTTGACAGGGTAAGAAAAATAATGGACTTATAGTAAGTCTGCAAGAATAAAGAAGTTTCTCAATAAATAAAATAGAACCGAGTTAGGCACCAACACCAACATTCCTTCAGTAACAGGAATCAACCAGCATTAGACATGGATTACAACATTCAACATTCAACCTAGATTCCAAAGTCTGCACATGCTATGTTTCCATTCTTCGAAACTCCACCCTTGGTAATACGAAAAGGAAACTAGCTGGTAAATTCTCTCTCACCCTGTGAGCTTAAAAGACTGATGTATGTCCCTTTGGTCAGGGAACAACAGAAAAAAAGGTGAGTGTGAGGGAAAACATTTTCCAATAAAGCTATTTCAACAGATGAAACTAGTTTCTTAAATTCTCTTTCTTAATATTTAAAAATATCTTGGAAAAACAATGTTTATTATAGATGAGTCTCTTCCTCATCTTCAGTCATTCTAGTTTCCAATGCCTCTTAAAATGGCTAAAACCAATGAGGACAATGAAGAGTTTTTGATACGAAGAGAAATTCTATTTTTCAACATTTCAAAACATTTTTAAAAATTTACAGGGCTTTAGGAAAATACTACATGGAGATAAAAAAATTGCATATATCTTGAAAGTTTTCTTTTTCTTTCCACCATTCTGTTGAACTGCCTTCTTCAGGGTGGTAAAAAAAGATAAAACATTTCATTTTTCAGCCAAATGATCCTCATTCTCAAAAGTTTTCAAATTAAACAATTGTTTACATCTCGAAACTTTAAACTTTCACTATTTTCAGTTCATCTGCTAAAAGAAATTTTGAGGCACAGCATAAACGCTACAACTTCTGCTCAATTCAATTTCATTCTTAGTAATTTTATAAACCCTGCAAGAGGGCTTCTCAAAGGGTGTAATGCGTAAACAAATAAAAACACCCTTCATATACCAGACTTACTTAAAAGTAAGGAACCTTTTGTTTTAAAACTGCTTCTCTTTCAAAGCTTCCTCATGATGTCCATACGACAAAATATGACAAAACGTATAAAAATCCAAATGCCAGCATGTTGCATGTTGCATCACCCTTTTTTAAACATATGTTCGGGCATAAATACTGCAGACATGTTATTGTCACAAGGCATTTGTTGTTCTATTGCACAAGTAATCCATATCTTCTACACACATAAATCCCATGTACACCTCCCATATTGCTCACCTGTAATTACATCTGAGGCAACTTTGAGACAAAATGGTAAATAGAAAATGTTGATTACATATTCCCATTCAGAAAATCCTGTATTTATACACTTTCAAACACTTCATTATCATACCTTGCATTCCTCTCATATCAGACCATTCACACAATAAATAGACCAGTAATTTTCACCATTGCTGGATACAGCTGTACAGAACTTTTTTTTCACAGGTTTAAAAATCATAAGCCTTGGCCCCACACTAGAAAATTTTTAGCCTTGCTGTACCAATGACTTCAAAGTCAACAGGTAAGAGTAAGACTTTTAGAGACAAAACTTATGAAAAGAAAGACTTTTAAGAACAACTGGCTAGTCTTTAAGAGCATACAGGCAGTCACTGAACGAATGTCTTGATGAAAAACACAAAAAAAAAGCTGCTGCACCACGGTAGAGAAGGTACTTTTTCACCAAAAAAAGTCAATGCAAAAACAACACATCAAATCACAGCCTCTATAAATATCGTCCCCACAACGTAAAGGCATTGTTTTCAATGTTCTGAGGCCAAGGCTTAGTGACCTCTTTTCCCATCCCTTTTTGTTACTTTTTTTTTTTTAAATTTTCATATTAAATCCACAGACACATGATATACACAATGGGCACAGGGTGTAAGGGCAACAGTTTACAGTGAAGCATTACAAAACATGATTTGCCCGAACCCAAATACATGATAGTATCAGGCACTTTTCGGCAAAAATGTAATATCATTCACACAGGAGAACTTTTTGATTGAGAATTCATACTTATGGTGAATACATTCTACTCAGACAATCACTATCCTTCTAACGAACAATATGGCAAAAAGGCATACATTCAGCAACTCTCTTCTCCATAGCAAATGAACAATTTTTGTTCAAATTGGGTGAAAATTCTGAGCTATTCACAATGACTTATTGATGATTATCACAGATATGTGCAGCGTAGACACTCTTCTTCACTTCTCTAGCTCGCAACTGAAAAAATGTAAGAATGAACGCTCACTGAGGATATGAGAGTTCAAACCAACATTAGCTGCTTGCTTATTTTTCCTTTAGCCTCACCATCTTGTCAAGAGCAGAGATTTCATCAGTTCAGGCAATAATCATAATGATGACACAGCAATATATCTGATTTTTTTTCCTTACAAAGGAAAGATGGCAACTTCCAAAACTAATAACTACTAACATAAAGACTTTTTCAGAAATACGTCCCAAAGGAAGTTCAGAAAAGGGACAAAACTTCATTTCAAAACTTATTCTATCAAGCAATCTTTTGACTTCAACAGAGTCCAGGAAGAACAAATTGTCCCCCCAATATATAACATAACAAAATGTTCCTTTCATATCCCCCTCAATCCCAACCCAAGAGATCACATTCACCTTCCAGTGGAGTAGAGCTACATGAACAGATATAATTCAAAACTAGTCCGGAATACATTGTGGTAATATAGACAATTGAGTGCCTGGACTTCCTCAAAACAAGCACACATTCAACCAAACTTCAGAGTCATATACACCATCACAAGGTCTTGTCTGATGACCACAGCACGACTGATAGGTTTCTCAGGTCTGACCAGATGAACATACATGAAAATGCTGTCAGTTTGAAGGGGGACAAAAATCACACATGACTAGATATTAAACAGTTCAGATTTCTGAAGAAGACAAACACATATATTGCTGTTTCTGTGTTAGTGCAATATTTTCCTCCAAAACACCTTTCAACATTTTTTTTTTGGAAAAAATTATCCAGTCCCACTAAATATGGTCACTGTATGTGAACATATTTAGACTTTCCAAACTGTTCAAAGATAAATACATTGAAAATGTAGAGTGTAATATTTCTATCAAACGGCTAATAAAACACAAATGTAACTGCCCCCAGCCAAAAAGAACCATAATGAAGACCACAGACTACAACTCAGAGCACTAGAGAAACCAAACACGTCAAGACTACTACAATTATTTATGAACGTGTGTAAGACTGTCAAAGAGAAATGGAATGATAAAGTTGCTTTACAACTTTACAAGAGAATATCAAGGAACAAAGCTTTCATGTGAATTAATTTAAAGCTGACACTGGGGCAAATGAATGGAAAACTCTGATTCAAAGCTTAATATACCTTACCTTAACAAAAATGAAATGTGCTGTTCACACGTTCAATGATACTTCTTACACACACCAATTATTTACTGTACCAGTCTAAGCTGACAATACTATGTGTTAAGATATAAACATAAGCACACAAAAAATTTAAAGAACCATAAATCTAGCAACTACCTAATAGCCAGACAGTATATTATTAAATAGAATCAGGTACGGTTCAACTCAAAATACGTTATGCTACTGTCATTCTATGACAAACTTATTTTAAAGCTATAGCGATCGTTCCCTTGGGAAATACCACGTCATTCTCTATCTTTTGCTTTAAATCTGTTCAGTCTCATTTGCAATTCAAGAAAGTGATTTTACAGCAGCAATCCATATCATATGAATTATACCATTCTAATTTGCTGAATATGTTCCCGAAGCCAGAAAAATAAACATGTTCAATAGACAACATTGAAAATTTTTCTCAGAGAAAAGCACACAACCAGCATGTACGTTCTGAAAAGTAGCAAATAAACCTGTCATGCCAATTCTATGCTCTTTCTCTGAACCTCTACCATTTAGAGCCAACACTGATCACATTCAACTTGGAAGATCAATTGAGATTTCAATTTTTTTTGTCTTCTCTTATACAAGATCTGGAAATGTTTTGCATGTTGAAGAAAGGACAGAGGATAATAGACATTAACAACAAACAATTTTTAATTAAGTATTTTCAGCAAGTGTATTTACTTGCTGCATCCTTTACACAGGCAAGTAGTTCCACGAGTGATGAGCATTCTTTTTTCAACGTTCTCCAGGTTGAAATTTTATTCAGCAAAAAAGAAATGAGGACTCAGATCTTTGAGCACTGCAGGCAAGGTCTAGGGTCCAGCTTCATATACTGAAGAAAAAATGAAAAAGAAATTAATATTTGGTTTAACCAACTCTTTCAGACAAAACTTTGGCAAAAGAGACTTGACCTATCCAAAAGCTTACACCCAAGCCAAATTCTACCTTTTCGAATTCATTATTTCCCACCACTGTGAACAGAAAATGAAATGTAAAATGTACATATATTGGCATATTCATATATCTTATGCAATGTCTGAACTCTAATGAATGAACTTCCGGTAGAAGAAACCTGTTATCGGCAATTGCTGAAAAATAATTTGATGTTGAAGTCGTCGTAAAGGAATATGCCCTAGCCGCTGTCAGCGGCTCACCAGGACAGCAGTTCCGACCGCGAGCGGCTTGCCAGAGAGAAAGACAACTAAAGACACAAAATGTATGTCTCATGCAGTACAACGATTTAACTAAACATGAGTCCCCCCCATCAGAAATCAGAATTACGTGCATGGCTTGACCTAGCTTGGGTGCTATGATCTGAGGAAAACTTAAAATATGTAATACAGTGTTTAATTGCCATAGACACAGGGAAAGACATGAAGAAAAATTCAGTGTCCTTTCAAAATTAGACTATTTTATCTCTCTCAAATAGGATTTGGCTCAAGATAAGTCAGGCTATTTAGAGGCAGCATAGAGAACTGCTGTGACATGTTGTTCTTTTAAAATAAAGATTTCATTTTCAACTGAAAGCCAACAACTTTCTGTTCTGTTAACAGTACAGTCAAACCTGCCCTGACGGCCACCTCTATAAGACGGCCACCTGCACAAACGGACACTTTCCATTCCCCCCTTGCGTTTTTTCTAGATAATTTAACTGTGTAAAACGGGCACCTGTCCAACGCGGCCGCGGCCACCATATTTTAACACACAACCCCTATCACACTAAGCAATAATACTTGTCTAAGACGGCCACCTTAGTGACTCCATTACTTTTTGTCATAAATTGTGCATTGGCCCCTAGCGTTGTAGGTGAGCCGTCATAATCCAATCACCTGTCATTGTCGTTAGGTAGTCCCTCCAACCGATCATGTTGCGTAGGCCCCTCCCACTGTTGACCAATAGCTACTAATTTTCAGCTGCTGGTGAGGTAAGCGTGTGATCCCTCATAACCCATAAGCCCCGCCCAGAACTCTTACTCTAATCGTAAGTGAGATGAGTGGTCACTGTTTATCCAGTCTGTAACAAAGTAACAAAGGACGTCAACATGAACTTGTGACAGAAGCGTTGCTCGTTCTCCAAGTGGTGGCGACCCGTGTGTTTGTTTAAACATGGCACTCGGTCTTCCTTGTCTGATGCATTTCGTTTTATTGTCACCCTTGTGCAAAATCAGCAACAAAATAAAAATTACTAACAAAATACAAACCACCACCACCACCAACAACAACAACAAAGCGGCTACTTTCGATTGGGACCTCGGATGGGAATGGTTTGTTTTCTTCATCTTGATCAGTCCTGCCTAAGACGGCCACCTGTCTTATACGGCCACTTTTCTCCTTGACAATGGATGGCCGTCTTACACAGGTTTGACTGTATATTTAAATATTAAAATGGCATTCTTTTCAACAACCCCGATGCAAGCTTAGGCTACAAACTGAACATATTATCTAAAAAAAAAAAAAAAAAAGAGGAGTTGGAAAAAAAGGTATGTCGTTGTGGTGAAATCAAGCTCTCGTCAAAATATTGAAATTGAAGAAAAAGGCTTTTTTTTTCAGCCCATTGGGCAATTTTATCAAAATTATTTGTATTGATTCAACAACTTTAATGTCCAATTAAAAACACATTCTAAACAATTGAATAGTGATAAATACCTGGAAAGACTTTGTACAAACTTAAAATAAGACGTCCTGACTTAACACATGGCCTTAAGTTTATGCAAAATGAAGGACATCCTGCCCTCACCCTCACATCACAATCCTTGCCCTGTTCCAAAACACAATCCCTTTTTGCAAATGCACTGGGACGCAATGACAGCACACTGTGTGTCCCAAATAAAGGTGGGCTTTTCTTACTAGTAAAGCAGATTATGGCCCCGATTCGAGGGGGTTGAAAAAGACTTCTCCCTAACTAATGAGGGCCGTTGGGTAAACCAGCTTTGACACTTACCTTGGATGAGAAAAGGGGCACTGAGAACCTAAGCGACAGTTGTTTTCCAGCCAGCCAGAGCAAGTCTGACCACGAATTAAGTCTCTCTCTGCAAACCCTCCTGTGAAAGAGCAACAGAATCAGAAATCCACCACAAAATTATGTATTGCTATGCTTAATTTTTTTCTGAGTGCAACCTACTTATCACTTTTAGTTGAAGCTTATTCTTGCTGCAAGGAGATGCATGCACTGTAACAAGCAGGAGAAGCCACAAACCTTGAGGCTTTATAATTAGATGCCCATGTACACATCAAATCAAAACTTGCCACCAGGCCACTTTTGTCAGACAGGAAAAGACACAGCATATACCTCAAGAAAAACACAAAAATCAATTAAATGGTGCTGTCAATCCAGACTTTTTATGAGGCATGAAAACACAAAGAAAATGCACAGATTTATCAACACAGCTGAACAGTATTTGATCAAGCAATTACAATTAGAACAGACAGCCAGTATCTGTTAGTATCTAGCGCTCCTTTCCCTTGAATTCATTATGAAAGTCAAATGCACTACAAGGGACATCAAAGAAAGTCCTGCATTTGCTTCAAACACCGCATTTCAGCAGTGCTTCATCCATGACAACAGTATATTGGCAATGGCAGGAAAAAAAATTCTTTGCCCCTAACCTGATTTACAAGCTGCCATATTATTATTCATGCCAGTTAAAACAACAAATAAGTTCATGAAATTTTTTTAAAGTATGAGGTAGTGGAGCAGACTGTCTTTGCTCTAGCTCACAAGTTGTTATGATGTTATTTAAAAGAGATCAAATCTTTTGATTCATTCAAAAGTCTGCTGAAGTCGTTTCTGTTTTTAAATAAATAAGATAGGGTTAAACAGCCTATCGGAGTCTGTTGAACAGAGGATCCACCCCTGGAAAGTCAAAAGTCCTAAGGACAGATGCACAACGAAAGGAGCAGGTCACAATAGAAGGAAATTCACTAGAAGACGTTGAATCCTTCTGCTATCTCGGGAGTATAATTGACAGAGAGGGAGGAACATGTGCTGAAATAAAGTCCCGCATTGGAAAAGCACAGGATGCTTTCATATCTTTGGATTGGATTTGGAAGACCAGAGATATCTCACTTCAAACCAAGCTGAGGATTTTCAATTCAAATGTGAAGTCAGTCCTGTTGTATGGATGTGAGACATGGAACGCATCCCAGACGTGCATAAAGAGGATCCAGGTTTTCTTGAACAAGTGTCTAGAAAGTTACTGAGGATCAGATGGACAGACAGGGTCACCAACGAGGAAGTGTTGAGGAAAACAAGACAGATCCCAGTCAGAGATGAGGTAGGAAGAAGGCGGTGGCGATGGATTGGACATACTCTAAGGAAGTCAGGCAGCTGCATAACAAAGAAAGTGTAGAATTGGAATCCACAGGGTAAGAGATCAAGGGGAAGACCGTGTGGAACCTGGAAAAAAATCACAGAAATAGATGTACAGAAAAGTGGTAAGACGTGGA